TGTGTGTATGTGGCCAGCTCAGCCCACCAGGGGGCGGGGCTGGCTGGCATGTGGTGCTGGGGGATTGAACCTCAGTTCCTGTGCTTTGCTAAGCTTGTTCTAAGTAGGTGCTTTAGACCACTGAGCCATCTCACCAGCCCGAGGGATTTGTTCCAATGGTGTTTGTAAATAGAATATCAAGTCCGCATCTTATGCAGCAATTAACCACTAAGAAGAATGTATGCAGTGTGTTAATTATTGAAACTGTCCTACCGATTTGATTTGAAACTGTCTCATTGCTATTTGTTTATCAATAAAACTATGGCAAAAAAAATAAAAAAGTAAATAGAAGTAGAAAAAAGAAAAAATAGGAAAAGAAAGAAAAAAGAAAAGAGTAAAAATGAGAAAAGAGTCCCAAACTCCCTGCCCACTTGCCGGTGAGTGCTGTTCCTTTGTAGGACCCTGGTACCCAGAGCCCATGGTGTGGAGGGCATGGTGGAGCTGGGCCCAGCCTGACCTAGTAGGGGACATTGGGGCTTCCTCTAGGAACTGATTACTACAGTCCCTCTCTGCCCTAGAGCTACTGCTGTCCCCAGTGAGACCCAAGGGCCTATGGCCTGGCCACAGAGGCCCAGTCCTGCTCCCCAGGCTGTGGCAGGTGACTTGAGAGCAGGTCCCCAGCTTGAGGGAAGGTGGGGCCTACTGCACGGGGTTCTGAGCTGCACAGGGCAGCGACGGGAACCCAGGAAGCCACTGGGCTGGTCCCCGTGGCAGACCTGGATTCTCAAGCCCAGGTGCACCATGTGGGAACTTCCCCACCCAGTTCCAGCAGTGGCTCTGTCCACATCAACCCTGAGGTACTAGAAGACTTGGTGAGAGTGGTTCTTCTCCAAGCCTTTCCTGCAGGAGTCCTTCAGAATATATTCACCAGGGTTGGTGGCCTGCTGGCTGCTGTCTCGTCAGGTCAGTCCTCAGGCCCGCCTAGTGCTGGGGTGTTGGCAGGCGTTGGAAGCTTTCTGTCACCTTGTTCCCAGTACCACGAGCCCTTCTTTCTCTTGGAATACAGCTGCTGCACTCCAACTTGTAGCTTCGCACTTGTGGAGGGTGCTTCTGTCCTGCCATTGTTCCTAGAACTCAGGCCTCCCATGGAGCTGCCCCATCTTCTTTTTTTCTTTTTCTTTCTTTCTTTTTTTTTTTTTTTTTTGGTGGTATGGGGATTACACTCAGGTCCTTGGGTTTGCCAGGCAGGCATTTACGCCCTTGAGCTACCTCCCCACCTCTCTTTTTCTTAAATATTATTTTCAGTGAGGGTATCGCTAAATTGCCAGGCTGTGCCTCTGTGAATGCATGGATTATGGGTGTGCAGCACCACACTGGACCCAGCAGCACCTAGGAGAGGCCATCTGACACCCACGTACACACAGCCTCACAGCCTCCCCATTGGGTGGTGACAGATCCACACAAGCATGGCCCACCTGCCTTGTTTTTTTACCACTATTCCTGTGCTCTGTGAGCTGAACCTGCAGTTCACCTTGAATTCAGCACTGTTTCCACTCCCCGGGAGCGTGAGGAAGCTGCCTGACCCCCAGCTGTCTTGGTGCCTAGCTCTCAGAGCAGTCTCCCGCCCTTGGTTTGCACTGATCCATGCCTGTAATTGGGGGCCAGAGGTTCCTTAGCAGCGTGTCCTGGCCTCTAGTTTGCTGAAGACCCATTTCAGCTCCCAGGGCTCAGTGTGTGGCATGAGGTGGGTAGAGGTGACTGAGGACACTGTGAGGGGCAGCAGGGGCCACCTGTGGGAGAGCACAGGAGGGTGGAGTCTGGGCAGAGGCCCACATGTGAGCTGAGTGAAGTGCGGTGGTGAGTTTTCAGATGTCTGTTCCTCTTCTTTAGGGGAAATACAATGATTTAACAATAACAAAATTGTACTGTTGGGGCTGGTGAGATGGCTCAGTGGTCTAGGGCACCGACTTAGAACAAGCTAAGCTTAAGCAACGGGGACCACGGTTCAATCCCCCAGCACCACATGCCAGCCAGCCCCGCCCCCTGGTGGGCTGAGCTGGCCACACACACACAAAATAAATAAATAAATAAAAAATATTAAAAAAAAAAAAATTGTACTGTTACAACGCATGCAGCCGTAGCTCAAATTTTATTTCAGCTTTCTATAATAATAGTTTGTTTTTAATTCACAATTAAATGCAGGTGAAGAATCTAAATTTTTATGATGTTGTTCTGGACTTTATATTAATGGATTCCTTTGAAGATTTGGAAAACCCACCGGTGTCCATACAGGATGTAGTAAATAATCGCTGGATAAAGTCTTCCTTCAAAAAAACTGTAAGTGGTGATTTCCCTGTCTTAGACATTTAAATTTAATGAAAAGTGGTCAGAACTGGGAAGATTGGTAAGATTGAGGCACACTATAAATTTGCCTGTGGAATGTCTAGTGTAGAAATGGACTCATTCACTGGTATTGGAGTCAGATTTATACAGTTTTTGCCACGTTGATGTGTGAAATTCTTCTTTTGGCCACCCAACCCTTGTCCTATAGGACTGAGGATTCCCTTTCTCTCTCTCTCTCTCTCTCTCTCTCTCTCTCTCTCTCTCTCTCTCTCTCTCAATGTATTTGGTTGTTGCAGGGTCTCACCACACAGCTGGCATGGCATGTGGTGATAGGGATTGAACTGCAGTCCCTCTGCTGGCTTAAGCTTGCCTAATCAGGCATGTTAGTCTGCTGAACCATCTTGCTGGCCCCTGAGGATTTCTTCAGGTCTCTACAGAAACTCAGATTTGGATTAGTGCAGGTCTAACAAAACCATCTGTGACAGAAATGACTGAATGACCTAGCTGAAATATAGCAGTTACAGTTTTTAAAAATGGCAATATGTGTTCTAAAGAAGACAGTCTTGAAATTCGTGTTTCTAAATACTGGGAAAATTTTGGAGAGAAAAAATAGCAAAATATGACCTGTGTGAACTGTATTTTATACTTTAATGTTTTCAGTTTCCATTTCTTTTTATATTGAAATTTGTCTGTCATTGGTTTTTCTTACACCTTATGTGTGTGCACCTAGGAATAAGGTGGGTGGGTATCATGTCTAAATGATGTTCGAATTTTTTTTTTTTAATATTCCAGCTGGGCATGGTGGCACATACCTGTAATCCCAGCATTCGGGAGACTGAGACAGGAGGATGGCCATGAGTTCAAGGCCAGCCTGGGCTATATAAATGAATTTAAGGCCAGCCAAAGCAAGACCCTGTGTAAAAAATACAAACAAACAAAAAAACCAATAAATTGTTCCAGTTAATGGTTTCATAATATTTTGGGAGTTCCTGATATTAAAATTTAAAGCACTTTTTAAAAATTTATTTATTTTTGGGGTATTTTTGGCAGAACTGGGGATTGAACTCAGGCCCCTGCACTTGCCAGGGAAGCGCTTATTCCACTGAGCCATCTCCCTGGCCCCTAAAACACTTTTTAATAAACCCACTTTTTCCTGAATTAAGATATGTTTTCATCTTTAAAAATTGCTTGTTCTGGGCTGGCCAAATAACTCAGTGGATTAAAGTGCCTGTAAGCATGCACAGGGGCCCGGAGTTGGATCCCTGAGCCTGCCATGCTGGCCCTGCCCCTGGGGCGCACTGAGACTGCAATTGAGACTGCATGGTGCCACCACACCTGTAACCCTGAACACCCTGTAGACCCTTCCCTAAAAAGTACAAAAAGAAAAAAGAAAGAAAGAAAGAAAGAAATCGCATGTTCTTCATGTCAGTAACTAACTGGGTAGTGGCCCTAATCAGGGTTGTGTCATGTGAGAACAGGATTGTATCTCTTCTGGATCTACCAAAGAAATTTTGCTTTTTTGTCCTGTCAGGCTTATACTTTATCTTTTTTTTTTTTTTTTTTTTTTTTTTGCAGAACCGGAGATTGAACTCAGATCCTTGTGTTTGCCAGTCAAGCGCTTATCCTATTGAGCCATCTCCCCGGCCCCTTTCTTATCTTAAATAAAAGTCTTGACATGACCCACAAATATTTCAACAGGAATATTCTTGAAGGAAAAAATATTATTTTGACTTCAGTGTTATGCATAGAATATTAACTGGTGTATTCTCCATACTTCTATTTTCACTTTTCCTTATAATAGCAGATTAAGATCTTGGGACTCACACAGTAACTGGCAAGCTCCTTGATACTAAAATTCAGCCTAGGGCTGGGGATGTAAGGTAGCTCAGTGGTATAGTTCCTGCCTGGCCAAGTGCAAGTCCTGAGTTCAATTTCTGGTACCTAAATAAATAAATAAAATTACGCATTTTTCCCTTAATGGCTTTGTGTTTAACTTTAAAATGTATATAACTGAAGCATCTTTTCATTGCAAACAAAATAAGGAGCTGGACTAGTTTTTATTGGTAGTCAATAGCTTGAAATTCTTAGAACCATAATCTGAGTGAATAGCACTAAGTGACACATTTCTACAGCTCTAAAGCTACTTTTCTCCTCCATGTGTGTTTAGGCTGTGGCTTCAAGTTGTTGGTCTGTACTGAAGCAGAAAAGGCAGCAGATGAAGGTAAGACGCTTCAGCAGTCTGGGACCCCGGAGTCTGGCCCATGTGGCAGAGGGAGGTGTATGAAAGGCTGCGAAGTCCGGGACCCAAATGTCTTCCACACATCTCCCCATGCCCCAGCTCCGGCTGCTGCTTTCTGGACCATGAGCACAGGGCTGCTCCTCTGCGGATCACTTGAGGAGTCTCTCAGTGACCATCCGCGTTCTTGGTGCTTACATAAATCTGCCAGCCATGGAGCTCAGCCCCTCCGAAGTGTGCTTTTTCAGCTCATGGACTGCCTCCGAATTCCTCACAGAGCAGTGTTTACAACTTTAATGTATGTGTGACATCTTAGACTAGAATAGCTGCAGTGAAGCCTTCCTGACTCCTCAGCTTTTGCTAACTAGCTGTGTGCAGTTGGGAGCAGGTTTCTTAACCTCACAAGTACCACTTGTCACGTATTTAAAATGATGTTAGCGTGACCTACTTTTGCAGGAATGTTTTGGCAAGTTAAGTGGGACCTACTGTCTTTTCTGGAATGTAGTGAGTGTTCATTAAATGATAACTGTCTGGGGGGCCTGGCCCTAGCTCAGTTCTTTAAGTGGCTGCTTCCACAAAGCTGTCAGCCTCAGGTTGCTGTAGTTCGATCCCCACAACACTCCAGCCAGCCAAACCACCCCTTAGGGCATTTAGAGCAAAAAAAAAAAACTTAAAAGGGGCTGGGGAGATGGCTTAGTAGGATAAGCGCTTGACCGGCAAACGCAAGGATCTGAGTTCAATCCCCGGTTCCGCCAAAAAAAAAAAAAAAAAAAAAAAAACTGTTGAAATCTAAATGATAACTGTCTGTTGCTGTTGGTTTGCTACATGGCGCAGGCTGGCTTAGAGCTACTGTAGTCCTCCTACCTCAGCTTCTAGAATTCTAGGATTATGGGTGTGCCGCCACCACACCCAACTGTCTTTGTTTTTTTTTTAAATGAGGTTTAAAGAATTGTCCTGGAGTGTGAAAAATAAAACTAATCCCCTCTTAAATTAATGACTTAAGGGTAATTAATTTTGCAGCTGCACAATCTTAAGGCATAGGGGCCCCCAGGAAGTGAATCTTGGCATCCTGAAATGAGAATACTACTGATAAGTTTAATTTCCTCACACACACACACACACACACACACACACACACACACACACACACACACAGAGTCCATAGGAAAAAGTTAACTATACAATTAAATGTTTAAGTAATACTGAATTTCTTAATTAAATGCTAGGATTCTAACAATAATTTAGTGCTTAACCATCTTAAGCTTCTTTTAGTATTTTTATTTACTACATTCAAGTGAACCGTAGGAGTTCACATACCCCTGAAAAGACACTCCTGTTCTTGTCACTGCTGGTTTCCAGCACTGTGATTGTTTATGTAAGAGGTAAAGACTGAGAATCCCTAATTTAAAAATCAAAAATCTGAACTGGTTTAAAATCTGAAAGGTTCTGAGAGTCAACCTGATGCTACAAGTGGGAAATTTTCCACAAAGTTTCATCCAATGTTGCTGAGTTGGAGTGTCGGTGTGCGGGGGTGCTGTGTTCGGGGTCCTCATGAGACCTAGGTTATAGACTGCCGTCTCTTTCCCAAGATGTCTCCATGTATATGCAAATATTTCAGTTGGGGGAAGAATCTGAGATTCTTTTGGCCCTAAGCATTTTGGATAAGTCATATTTTTAAAAGGTAAAAATACCCTTAAAAAAATAACCTTTGGGGGGCTGGTGAGATGGCTCAGTGGTCTAAAGCACCTACTTAGAACAAGCTAAGCTCAAGCAAAGCACAGAGACCTCGGTTCAATCCCCCAGCACCACATGCTGGCCCGCCCGCCCCCTGGTGGGCTGAGCTGGCCACACACTAAATAAATAAATAAATAAATAAATAAATAAATAAATAAATATTAAAAAAAAAATAAATAACCTTTGGGGGCCGGGGAGATAGCTCACTGGCATAAGCGCCTGCCTGGCAAGTGTAAGTTGCTCAGTTTGATCCCTGGTACAAAAAAAAAAAAAAAAAAAATCAGCTGGATGGGAGGCTGGGGCAGGAAAAGCACAAGTTCAAGCTCAGCTTGGGCAACTAAGTGAATTTGAAAGATGCTATCTTTAAAAAAGAAAAGAAAAGAAAAGATGCTACCTCAAAATAAAAAATTAAAAAGAGCTGGGGATTTAACTTAATTTAAAGGCCCTGGGTTCAATCCCCAGTACAGAAAAAAAGTCAGCACACTTGAAACTGTTGGCTGGGATATGAATTCTATGTAAAAACAGTCTTGGACTATTAAGAGTTACTTGTGTATGTTATTAAATTTCTTAATATACTAGCTCATGAGTGACCCTTGGTCTACCCTCAAAAAAAATGTTCATAGCTAGGCATGGTCTATAATTCAACTCTCTGGAAGGCTAAAGCAAGAGAGTCGAAATATCAAACCACTTAGTCATTGGGCCACTTAGTCACTTAGCTGTGTCTCAATCTGTTTAACAAGGCTAAAGATAGGGCCTGCATATAGTTCAGTGGCACAAGCACCTGTCTGGCAGATGCAAGGTCCTGAGTTCAATTCCTGATACAAAAAAAAAAGGTTAAGAGATACTGCTTAGTGGGAGGATGGTGGGTCCAGTCTTGGTCCTGCGGAGGGGCCGTATCATGGCACTGTTTAAATTGCTGTACTAGAGGAAGGAGTTTAAGAAGCTAGAAATAACCAGATTCTCTTTATTTTCCAACAGATCCCAGATGGGTTCTTTGCCCATTTTTATGCCATTTGTGAGCATATAAGCCCTGTCCTGGCGTGGGGCTTTTTGGGTCCTAGAAATTCTCTCTATGACTTATGTTGTTTCTTTAAGGTATGTTCATTATTGAATCATTGGTTATTTTTTCCTAAATCGACAAGTGGACAAGTTTTTATTCTGTTTTATTTTTGCATTTATAGAAAAGGAATTTACTTAAAAGTGTTATTTAAAGGTGAAGTTACAGCGCACAGGTGGTAGTGCATATCTGAAATCTCAGCACTTGGGAGGCTGAGGCAGGAGTATTGGCACAAGTTCAAGGACAGCCTGAACTACAGAGACCTTGTCTCAAAAGAAAAAGTTATGAAGGCCCAGTGTTTAAATGCCAGTATTAAACCAGTGGCACTTCACCACCTCTCTGCCATTGTAATGGACCAGTGCTTTCTACAGTAGACTCTAGTGCCTTCTTCTGGACTAGTGTCACCAAGCCCACGGGCCTCGTCAGCCCTGTCACTGTCTCCTGGCCTTCACGCACCACGGGCGCGTTCCTGCACAGTTTGTCTTTACGCCTGGACACAGGGTTTGTAAGCAGCGAGCAGCTGTCTGTGTTGCACACATGTGGATGCAGAAATAGGTCCTGGCTCAAGTGAAAAACCCTCGTCGTGGGCAGTAAATAGGATCTGAAGGCGTGTCCTACTCAGGCTTTAGTTTGCCAGACTCAAACCGCACGCAGCTCCTTGTAGCACTTCCTGTTTAGCAGTCTTTACTTAATAGGCTTAGGCTTGAGCCAAGTTTCAAGGAGCAAATAAAAACAAATATAAATAAGTCTGGATTTGAAAGTTTGGATGTTTTACTACACTGCTCATATTTAATAATTAAGGTGGCTGTGTTTGTGCTGTTGAGGACATGTTTGTATATGAGACTGTCACACGGAACTCTCTGGCTTGACCGAGCCTTGTCACAGTGTAGGCCTGGCTTGGGGACAGTCATCCTTCACTCTTTCTCTGCATCTGGAAAGTGAGGGCACTTGACCATTGGTTGTCGGTGACGTTTTCAAATACAAAACCCAGTGAATCTGAGCTGCACCTTCTTAGTACTTACTGCCATTTGTTTCTGAAGGACAGAAATTAAATATTCTGGCTCTTACTCTTTGGAATGACTTTCCTATTGCGGCAAACAACTAACAGCTAAGATTCAGTACTGAGTAGATTGCAGCTCACTTAAAATGAGTTTCAGCATACGATGACCTTACTGCTTGTCTGTTGTCTGTGTGTTCCTCCCTCAGGAATTTCTGTATCAGGGATCAAACTTGGGACCTTGCACTTACCAGGCAGGCACTTATTCCACTGAGCTATCTCCCTGGCCCTAACCTTACTGCTTGGAAACACTAAATTATTCCACTGATTTTAGACTGGAGATTATTTTTCTCTTCATAGTTTTTGTGCGGCATGAGCACCTTTCAGAATGTGATTATGGGAAGCAGCTGGTTCTCCCTTGGGGGACCAGGCTTAGAGGCAGCGTGGCAGGAAGGACTGCAGGCTCTTAAGTGAGACTGTTTTGGTGGGTTTTTTTAGGCTGATTTTTTGATCCAGCTCTCAGTTCTGAGTAGGAAATAGGACGGGTAGTGTTGTCCCTCTCTTTACAAAACATTTTAAAGTTGGACCTAAGAAGGTTAAGAAAACTCTTGTTCAAGATCCCTTTTCCACTGAGATCTAAAAGCAGCCCTGGACCTCCGATGTCCTGCTCTCAGTTCAGTGCTTGTTATACTCATTGATTCTTCCTGTTGTGTAGAGTTTGGTCTAATAAATGCCAATCTGCTGTATGTTCATTTCCAGAACCAAGTCCTGTTCTTTCTTAGAGACATCTTCGACTTCGAGAAGGCGCGCTACTCCAGTGTCGAGGCACTGGCTGAGGACCTGCTGCAGCTGCTGCTGCGCCGCACCGAGCTGCTCCTGGCCCACATGGGCACCGATGTCCTGCGCCATGCCAGTGGCTGCATGGGTGGCCACGGCCACCTTGTGTCTGCGGGGCTGGTGGAGGCCAAAGCACAGTGAGAACTGAGACACTCAGACAGGTTGTGGGGTGGGACGGTATCTGCAAGTAGCTTGGTCTGTGCCATGCATTACAGGACAACAGAACTGGTGGATCTGGACTCAGGGAAGCAAAAAATGTCAAGTGGGGAGCAAGCGACTGGCCTATAGGTAAACACAGCTTCTGTAGCTGCGTCTCTATGTTGTATATTTGGGACTTTGCATCTTCCTTCTAGAGGCATTTAGTCAGGAAATATGTGTAAGAGGAATAGTGCTTAAGTGAGGCCAGCGCTTGGTGTTAGTTGCGGGTCCTCTCAGGCTGTCTGACTGTCCCATGTCACTCTCAGAAGCTGCGTTGCTGCTGAACACCTTGAAAACACATTGCAGCCACGGCTGGTGGCCACACACGGGAAAAGGCCACCTGCATCTGCACACTAATTCTCTTGGAAGCGCAATTTCAATTGGAATGTTACGCATTGTTTAACTAGATTTAGGCAATTGTGATGTTTCCTGTGTACTGCTTAGCTACTATTTGTGCACTTATTTATGTACTTTTTATCAAAGAAATTGTACTACTGACTATTGTTGTGAACCACTTAAAGGAACTGATACCGATAAGTTTACAGTTTATGACTTTATGTTAAATTAACTGTGGTTTCCAAACTGTGTGAATTCTTGGTCCTAGAGGTTACACTAGAGAGACTCAAGTACTTAATCTTTTCATGTGATCTTTTCTCTTGGTGAATATTGATTTAAGATATAATATGTTTATTATGAAAATCAATTAAAATTTTACCTTTTTTTTTTGGGACTGGAAATCAAACTCAGGACCTTGCGCTTGCCAGGCAGGCGCTGTGGCGCTGAGCTACGTCTCCTGCCAAATTTTACCTTTCTGAGTGAGTTCTGTGGCTGACTCCCAACAGCCGGACATGAAGCCATTCTGTCTTCCCCCTCAGGACAGCTTTGAGCTGACCGCAGAGCTCCACCCACGGGGGGATTTGGCAGATTATGCCCATGTTTTTAAAACAGTCATAATTTGGATCAGTGAGGTTTTAGGGAAGGCTTCTTTCTCCTCTGATATATAACAAAATATTTTAATGATATGAAAGTATATTTTGTGTCTTAATGATAAATGTATGAACGAAAGCGTTGTTCACGTGAGACTGCTCTTCAGAGTATACGAGATACTTTGGAGCTGCATTAATTCTGCTCCGCAGTGACAATCCCACTCCTCTGAGGTGCTGACTCAGCCAGTGATGGATTAGATTTGTCCATTTTGCTCCTAAAGTGGGCCTTGTTCATTTTAGAAGTGACAGAAAAGGATCTAGAAAGCATTTTTTAAAATGTATTTTTAGATTAAAGTGCCTAGTTTCAGACTAATGACAGAATAGAAAAAGTGAAAAAAGGTTTACTTTTTGCTTTTTAAGACTTAAGTTTATGTATGTGCCATGATTATGTAAAGTGAGTGCAAGGCGTGGTGATGAGGGCGGGCAGTTCTGAGTGTGTACAGAAGGGAACACTGCACTGTCAAGGGTTACTCGGATTGTTGCAGGACATACGGCTCCTTCACATTTTCTTCTTACTCTTTTGCTTTTGTCTTGTCCTTCTGACACAGGGGCTTGCACAGGAGTCCAGCCCGGCGGAGCTCACTACGCAGCCCGCCCGGCCTGAGCTCACTGCGCAGCCCGCCCGGCCTCCACCTCCCAGCAGCCCTCCTGCCCCAGCCTGGGGTACTGCGATCGTAGGCGTGCGCCACCTCGCCCAGCCCCAACTTTTCTTACACAGTGCTTTAACGATTGCCGACTCAGTTCTTCCTGATGGAGGAGTGTGATTAGGAGTACCACAGTGACAAATTCCATTATGTGATGCTTTGCTTTTTATTCGTTAGCTATTTTGGTGTTGTTGAGCTGTCACTGTCCTTGGGTGAAATGCACACACACACACACACACACACACACACGCACGCACGCACTCCCCCCACCATGCAGGCAGGACAATCACTGCTATTAGTTTACTCATTTTAGGGCTAAATGTTTTATGCTGTGGTTTTGTAAACAAGCTGTGATATTTTTATTTGAGAAGGATACTGTTTGAAATCACTTGAAGAATCGCACTATTTAATAATGCTGCTATTTCTACATAAGAAAACTGGGGAATTTATTTTATCAGATAAATGATTTCCTAGAAAAGTGGATTTTTATTTTGTGGTTTTTCTTTTATATTTCTTTTTAAAAATTTCTTTGCTGCTGCTTCTTCCTCTTCCTCCCCTTCCTCTTCTTCTTTTCCTTTCTCACTTTTTTTTTTTTTTTGAAACAGGGTCTTGATATACAGTTCAGACTGGCCTTGAACTCACCATGTAGCCCTGGTTGGCCTTGAACTTGTGGCAGTCCTCCTGCCTCAGCCTGGGAGTAGAGCTGTGCGTCACAGTACCTGGCTTATTTTTTCATGTAAATTTCAACAAAAAATATTTGTGGCCAATCTTTAGGAAGCTGGTTGTCAGATGCAGTGCCTTGATTTGAATAGTCTCTGGTTAGTTCAGTGGCTGCAGCAGTAGTGACAAGCTTTCTCTGTGGGCTTCGACAAAAAGGAAGCATGACCAAATGGAGTTTCTGGGCAGTTACTTTAAGGAAAAATCTGTATTATAAGTAAAAAATTACTTTTTTAAAAAAATCAAATTTTATTGATGCATTTTAGATATATATAATGATCGCATTTTTCATAGAGAATTTGTACCTGTACATGATGTAACTTGACTCCTTTTGTTTTTTCCCCATTTCCCTGCCCTCCCTTCAGACTTTGAAACAAGGTCTCACTATGTAGTTCAGGTTGGGCTTGAACTCTCTCTGTAGCTCAGGTTGGTTTCGAGCATGCTGATGCTCCTGCCTCAGCCTCCCAAAGTGCTGGGATTACAGGTGTGTGGCACCATACCCAATATATGAATTTTTTTTTTAGGAAACACCTTTCTGAAAACATTTCTGACTGCAGAAGGTTACCTAAAACATACCAGTTTTCACTTGCCTTAAAAAGTTGGATTAAACAATAAAAGCAATGCTTTACAAAGCATTTAATCTGTAAAAACGCCATCAGAAAATCACCGTTGCTCCCCCACCTCCCCTCCCCTCCCCTAGCAAGGAGCCAGAGGCCTCCAGTCCACCCTGGGAAGGTGGCGCTTTCGTCTCTAGAGTGAAAAGATAAGGTTCAGGTGGCTTGTATCTGATACTTCCTTTTCCTATTTTGGCTCCCCTGTACTTTTGTTCAACTAACACGGTAGCATCTTCCTTCCTAAAGGTTAACAATATGTTTATTAAATGTGAAAATGGAACTACTTTAAAAAAAAAAAAAAAAAAACAAAAAACTAAGCTTTCCATGTTGTTGGACCCTGCTCCAAAGAACGTTTTCTCTTACAATAGTGTTCTTTCCCTATTCGTTGAATAACTGATTGTCAAAAGTATTTACAAGGGCTGGTGAGATGGCTCAGTGGTCTAAAGCACCTACTACAGGGACCGCGGTTCAATCCCCCAGCACCACATGCCAGCCAGCCCCGCCCCCTGGTGGGCTGAGCTGGACACACACACAAAATAAATAAATAAATAAACAAATAAATAAAATTTAAAAAAATAATAATAATAATAAAAAAAAAATAAAAAAAAAATAAAAATAAAGTATTTACAAATATTTTCTTAAGATGTTAAATTCCAGAGGAATTTTAATGTATCATTTCTTGAGGCCTAGGTAATAGAAATGCCAAAGTAATATTAACATCCTTCCCCATGGCCTTTCACAACCAGAATTTAGGCCATGTTTGTTGTTCACTGTTATTTTAATGTCATCAGGTGTTCAGAAGTCATTTGGGATGGAAACTTCAAAGTGGCTATAATAATTAGGCTGAATTCAGATCTTCTGGGTTTTTTTACTTAGGTTAATTGGATTAAGAAATATGTATGTGAGATATAACAATTTATATATTATGTCATAAATGGAAACAAGACATCTGCACCTTCTTCCTGATGACCAGTATATTGTGTTACTGTTTTAATTTTAGACCAACCACGTTAGCTTCACTTGGCTGTATCAGTAAATATGTGTCTGTTTCTTAAATGTAAGCACTGAACTCATTATGTAAAAGTAAAACACTGCGGTCGCAGAAAACAGCACTAGCTCTGTAGCCAAAATGAGCACTATGCCATGGAAGTGTTTCTGTTATTGCCAAATAAAAAAGCAATGGAACATTTGGGTGATATATCCTTTTTTTTTTTTTTTTTTTTGAGACAGGGTCTTGCTGTGTAGTTCAGGCTAGCCTTAACTCACTGCAGCCCAGGCTGGCCTCAAAACAGTGATCCTCCTGCCTCGTCTCCTGGATGCTGAGATTACAGGTGTGTGCCACTGTGCCTGCTTTGTGCTGCATACTTTACACAGTGCTGCTGTCTAAGCGGAGAGTTGTAACTGTGTCCTTAGCCCCTTCCCCGAGAGCTTCTGGTCAGAGCAGACCACATATGCCGGCCTGAAGTCCAGGCAGCTGTAGGTGTTGGCGCCGGCCATGGCCGTGTGTTCTGTGTGCTGTGCGGAGAGGGAGGGATGGGTTTATGAGGAGCACAGTCAAGATGCTTGCGTTGGAATCGTGTTTGAGGCAGCAGGGGAGGGAAGCAGGGGCAAACGTGTCAGGTGGAGCCGCATCACCCTCTAGGCGCTTGTCATTCCTCTCCCACTGCCCTTGGCTAAGTGCACAGGTGCACCCGGGGCAGCCACCGAACGGCAAGGGCAAGAAAGAGTTCGCCTGGACCTAGTTTGGTATGCTGAGAAACATTTAAGAGCAATTAAATGTATATTATATAGGGCTGTGTGCGTGTGTGCGCGTGTGCGTGCTTCGCCCCTGGAACCCTTGTGCCAGGGACCTTGGTGGGTCAGCAGGCGGGGGAAGGGCAAGCGGCCTGCAATGACCTCACTCCTGCCACGCTCTGTGGCCACACAGGCCAGCCGTCTTCCCAGTGGAGAGGACTGCAGGTGTGAATTCGGAAGGACACGCATTTGCTGTCTTCTTGCTGGCTGGAAACCACAGCAGGGATTTCGCTTGTTCCACTGAGCCATCTCCCCGGCCCCAGTAAGAGTACGTTCTTTGGCCCGTCTTGATACAGGCATCAAATCTTTTAGTTGGTTTCATAGTAATTTTTCTGCTGCTGTGACAAAATATCCAACACCCAAAATTAAGAGAAAAGGTTTATGTAGCTCACAGTGTGCAGCACTTTTGGTTGTAATCAGCTGGCCCCAAGGCAGGGTGGCACCGGCCCTGCTGGGGAGCAAAGGCGGGGCAGCAGCCTTACATTGTACACAGGCTTTCCAGCCGGGGAGGGAGCATGCAGCACTCACAACCCAGCCCCAGCAGTGACAGCGAACCAGTCACAAACTCTAGGTTCAGCTGCCTCTGAAAAGCCCCTTCCTGTGACCCAGTGAGGCCTGGGGGAACATCCAGACACAATCTGACAGCTGGCGTATTCACCCGGTATCTCAAGATGTCTTCCTTACTAAAGTGAAACCCCACATAGCATCATCTGGCATGTCAAAACTCTTAACTTTTAGAAGAAACTGGAGGGGCACAGTGGTACACGCTTCTGACTGCACTACTCTAGGAGGCTGAGGCAGGAGGGTCACAAGTTGGAGCCCAGCTGGGGCACCTTAGTAGGACCATGTCTGTCACGGCTCGTGTCCAGATGTCCCCCCAAAGTCTCATGCAGTCACAGGTGGGGCTTTTAGGGGTGGCTGGATCCAGAGAGTGTGCGACTGAGCATGTGGTGCTGGGATTGATTCATGCTGCTAGGGTGAAGTCTGCCTGGGCGTGAGAGCTCCGTTCCAAGGGCGGGAACCCTCCGCGGGATACAAGGGGCAGGAAGAGGGTCACAGCCTGTCCTAGCCCCGTTTCCTCGCTCCTTCGTTGCCTTGCTGCCCTCCAAGAACTGTTCCCCCTCTGCGATGCCCTCTGCTCAGCGGCTGACCTCGGCCTGGAGCCGCAAACAGCCCAAAGTCTTCCTCGTCCAGAATGCGCGGAGCATTTTGCCTCAGCAAGGAAGAGTAAGACCCTGGCATATAGCTCAATCCCCAGTGCCAAGAAAGACGGAAGGACAGACAGATAGATGGAAGGAAGGGAAGGAAAAAGGAAGGACAGAACAGATTTAGGTGGATAGGAAGCAGCGAGCGCAGGGCCTCCCCGAGGGTTGCGAAGGTCGCCCAGTGTTAGATTGCTGAGAGCGCCTGCTTCTCTTCCTTACCTTCGGGTCCCAGCATCTGTGTCTCAGGGTGCCACCCCTTCCCTCCCGGTGTGCCAGCCCCTGCCTGTAGGCCTCACTGTGACCTAAATAAACCCTTCCTTGCACTGTTAGCCAGCCTCTTGTTTATTTATTTATTTATTTTTTCCAGAGTCCTGCTGTGTAGCTGCGGCTGAGCTGGCCTCCCATGGCCATCCTCCTGCCTCAGCCTCCAGAGCGCTCGGATCATGCGCCTGCACCACCCCCTCCGGCCGCCAGCTTTGAATATCTTGTTATAGAAACAGAAGACAGAACAATACAGGGTTCCACTTGCCTCAAGCATTTCTCTTGCTAGGCTTTCCCGGCCTCCATCCCAGAGCTGTGGCCTGGCCAGCGCAGGCCCCAGCACGTCCGCTTCCCTGTCCGCTTCCCTGCTCCGGGTCTCTGCGGGAGCTGGGGTGGGGGTGGGGTACGGACCCTGCAGCCAAGAGCCAGCGAGGAGGGCAGTCCCAAGGGCTCCCCCGCAGTTGGTGTGGGGTCAGGACAAGGCTTCTCAGTATCCCCCAGTGCCACTAGAGTCACCTCTGCCTCCTTAACTGTTCCTTGCCAGTCTGCCTTTGTTGTTTGGGTCATTTGTTTTGGTCTTGGTACCTCAGGCTGGCCTCGAACTCGCACCCATCCTCGATCCTCGTGCCTCAACCTCCGGGGGATTGAGATTACAGGCTCACGCCACCACGCACAGCTGGTGGCTTTTTTAAATGGGGAGAACTAAGATCAGTCCCCAGTGAGGGGGCCCTGGGGGTCACGCGGCAAGCAAGGGGTCCCAAGCAAAAAGGGGGGGGCTCATTCCTGGGCTCCTTCCCAAAGGATTAGGAAGCTGAGCAGGAAGCCGGCATGATGAGGCTCAGGCCTAAAATCCTAGCACTCCTGGAGGCTGAGGCAGGAAGCTGCACACCCTAGGCCAGTGAGCCACTGAGCAAAACCCTCCCTTAAAAAATAAAGGCTGGGGCTGGAGCTGAGGGCCAGATCCTGATTCAATCCCCAGGGACACACACACACACACACACACACACACACACCCCGCAAAGGTGAGAATTCATTTAAAATTCCAGGGCAAGCCATTCGTTGGGACCTCTTCTGTGTCTCAGGAACTACTCTTATTCCCCAATCCCCTTCTCTAATAAATTCTCCTGCTTAATCTCAAAATAAATGAATAAATAAATTTCCTCCAGCTTTCTGATCAGCCAGTCTTCTAGAGATGAAGAGAGGAACACCACGTGCGGGCCGGGGAGCGCGGAGCAGGGGAGCCGGGAGCAGGGGAGCCGGGAGCAGGGGAGCGGGGAGCAGGGGAGCCGGGAGCAGGGGAGC